AAAATGACTGAAAATTGCAAATTTCGCAAGGCTATATTATCCCCATTTTACAACATTTCGCAACGAAACTTTGGAATATTACTAATTTTGTGATGCTCTTTCAAGCTGTGATGAAATTTTTGTCTAGATCAAAATTTATTCTATAATGCAAATAGTCCATTGGGGGTATAGGAGGTGGAGGAATTTTTGGGGGGCATTAATTCTGTAGAAATACATATTGAGTTTTGTTTGACGCACACGGTGTCTACGATTATTTTTGCCAGGATTGACTTGTAGTTGTTTTGACTCTGTGGACTAAGATAACTGGCTTATTAAAGGTTACGTAAAATTTTTCCAAACGTTGTAAAACATTTCAAAAAAACTACGTCAAAAACCTCTATATAACAGTAAAAACTCAAATTGCTGTATTCACTCGCCCCAAGTCTCTTCTGTTTACTGCAAGAAGTAATTAGCGCATGCGCAGATAAAATTCCTATACCTGTTCCGTAGGGACTGTTGAACGGAGCCTGAGGTATTCCAGCGGAGTTTTTTAGTTCAGCTGCGTTTAATAGTTTTCTTAATGCTCATTTTGCATCCTTCAACTGAGGAAATTGAGAAAATAGTCGAAAGCAAGGACTCGGAAAACAGTAAAAAACTTAAAATATGGTGACCATGTCCGATGTTTATGCTGTATGAATGTTTGTTTGCTTCCACTTTTTGTTTGATTTATTCGTTAATGTCGCTGAACTCTATAATTTATCTGAGTATGAAACAAAATAGCAATAAAGATGCCTAGTGCAGTGGAATTTTTTGAGTCGTTGTACTTCCAATTATTTTATATATATGGTTACGAAAACGAACTTTAATTTCAATAGGCGTACATCCAACATTAAATAAACTATGTTAGCAGTATAACAATTAATTTCTTGTTTATTTTGTATGACCGACCGATACTATTAAACTTAAAACTAGGGTACCTGCAAGGTAGGGATTGCTGCGGGCATTAAAAGCAAATAGAACTACAGTAAACAGCACAAATTATATCAAGCACAGTGATTACTCGCAGCGACTAGTGAGCCGTGAATGGAACTGAGAACGGAAGCAATATATCTTGCAGTAGCAAAGACCAGGGGTTAAAGGGCAATCAGAGGTGACAGACAGGGCCGCCGAGAGGGGGGGGGGGGGG